TTGTACAGAGGAAAACACGATTTTCCTTGATAGTACACAGGAAAACACAATTTCACATGAAAGTACACAGGAAAACACGATATCACATGATAGTACAAAGGAAAACACGATTTCACTTGAAGTACAAAGGAAAACACGATTTCACTTGATAGTACAGAGGAAAACACGAGTTCACATGATAGTACCGGAGACATATATGTGTAAATATGTCTCTAATATATCAGAGGAAAACACGATTTCAAATGATAGTACAGAGGAATACACATTAATAGAATAAGATACATCTGGGAATAGCGTTCCAAGAATACATGTATAATATTTAAAAGTACTGTCTTTCAAAGAAGCGTCACAATTTCAGGAAATTGACTTTGTAGATTTGTTGTAATGGAAAATTATCCGATCCTCATAATGGACTTAAATTTCGAGTACAAATTACTGGCAACCTCGTAATTTACATTAATCATCATAATCCTCGTATTTTCAACATTGGAATGAGGGGGGGGGGGGGGCAAGAAAAAAGGTATATGTGAAGTAAAAAGTCAGGAACCCAGCTACATGATGGACAATCGAAACTCCTTCCATTGTAGATGCATTCTTCAACCAATTGATATAGTCTTATTAACTTGAAAATTTGCTGAAATCAAACCTTAGCAAACGATACAATATTAGTTACATCACCGTCAATCTTCTCATAGCAAGACTGCATCTACGCTCAAAAGTCAACTGAACGACAAATCGAGAACTAGGTTTGCACACATGTTTGTGATAGAGGCTGATTGTACTCCAATAATTGGAAAAAGGAGAAAGATCTGCGTACAAGAAGTCATTACAACAAATTCGAAATAATTCAAAGCAAACTTCAATAATTCGAAAAACGAACGTTAGTATTGTTATTTCTGTTAACTCTCTCTGTTCTAACTGTCTTTAATAATCGTATTGATTATTGTTCCTGTTCTTGAGAGAATGGCATGATCAATATATTGTGGAATTGTATTTTTCTAACAGAAAACATCGTTCAAGAGGCAAAGCAAAATGAATAACGCAAATAATACAATGATTAAAATTGGTTTCTACTAATCGAGCCCCTGCGCTATTAATTTCGATTAGACTAAGAAAGATCCTATTATAAAGTACATGTATCTCTCTGTAAGTGTTTGATCTCATATGCATACGTTTTAAGAATTTTGATGAATCAAATGTTTTAATAGATTTAGAAAATCAGAATGTTAATATATATTTGAACGTAGCCTATGATAATTTTAGTAAATGTTTCTATGAGGTAGTTGACAAAAATGCACCTTTAAAGGAAAGCAAATCAATATTACCAAAATGCAAATGAGGTCCCATACTATGAAACGTGAGCTCAAAAGTTCAAGTTATAGAAAGAAAATGTTGTATGATAAATTTGAAAAATTCAGTGGCAGTGAAAACTGGGAAGCAAACAGACATCAAAGATCTTCAAAGCAACTATGTTACTAAACTGAAAAATAAGTCTTTTAACCAACATTTTGAAAAGGAGTTGTGGAGGTTCCTACATCTAAAGATTGCTGGCAAACAGGGAAACATTGTCTTACAAATAAAGGTTAGTATGTACACCAAAAAGGAATATATCCTCTCTAAAATAATGTTTTTATTACAAAACAAGAGAAGGTAAGTATTGACCAGAATATTGGAAACAATAAAAAAGAAGGTTGATAATGATCACCCTAGTATTTTTGAACGTTAATTAAAGTTAAACCATTGTGGTGACGTCAGCCTATTCATTTACCGTGGATTCTTTTTCTAGAATCAACGCTTCCTAAAACTGCCGCTGAAATTGACTCACCAAATTATATTCAATTGTTTCCTTTGTGTGCCTAATTTCATTAAGTTTGAATTGGCTAATTTACTGATTTCTGTTCACTAATGGAATTAATTTAAAAACTTACCTTTATTTTTTGTAATTTGTATATGCCTTCACTGGGAATCGAACCCTTCCTTGAAATCTGTTATGTGTGACTGACATCAACACATCGACGAAACCTCTCGGCTACCAATGGGTTACACTATAGATGTCTATTTTATATATTTAAATGAACATCTGATATACATCGGTTCATCGGACACACAGGGCTTGTACCTTTATATAGACACAATAGGCAGTCGTATAGTATGAGTTGGTAGCCGCGAGGTTAGCATGGTTAAAATCAATGAGTTAAAGATAGGGATTTGTCGGTTTAGGTTCGAATCCCTGTATTCTCTCTGTTGTTCCAATTCTTAAATGATCCTGTTTTTTTTCTAATTTTGCATGTTATAGGGGATATTTTTGTAATAATAGCGAGTTTTATCGGTTTTTTTTTTATTATTATTGGCTATTTCACATGTTTGAAACAAAAATGATTACATTCTATTTGTCAATTTTTGTTTTATAAATATAGTATGATTTCATCTGTTTTACTACATAATTTTACAAAGGTTTGTTCACAAATTCTTATGCGAGAAAATCGTGATGTGCCTAGAGTGCTAGAAAAATTTTCGATAACATACTTGTTATATATACTTTATATATGCTTTCTGGTCGGGTTGTTGTCTCTTTGACACGTTCCCCATTTCCATTTTCAATTTTATTAGAAATAATTTCGAATAAGTCTTATTTTGTTTAAACAGCTAATATTCATATGCCTGGTAATATAAAGATCTTTAAAGGTAGAAGTGTTATATTTGTATTTTGTTAACCAATTAATTGTGATCTGAGATTTATCAATGCATCGTTGGACACGATAACATGGTTATTAAAACTCACTTACAATACCTTCTAATTAAGAAAAGGCTTTAATTTTGAAAAGAAATTAACACAATAGTTTAAGTTATAGATACAATGGATAAGCGTAGATTCATGAAAAACAAACCATTCGCCCTCCGGGCTCATGGTTTCTTTTTCAAGAATCCACGCTTATCCATTGTATCTATATAACATAATTTACCTGATCTAGACAGCCATAAAAAAATCTGTATAAAACTTGATCTTGTGCAATGCCAAACAATAAGTATCAACAGGGTGTAAGATCGTAAGCGTTTAAAACAGTACAGCAAATATTAGGTACATTTAACGATTGTTAGGAGTTACTGTACATAGCGATGCCTCATGGATATGATTCTCAATTTGTAAATAAATGGAATTTGTTTTTATCAACAACCATTCAGGAACTTGCTACCTCCTAACAAGAGGATCATAAGAAGCCCGAATCGCTGACCTAGAATTTGTTTTGTAGATCTTGCATCAATGACCATTTTTAGTTTACAGTAAGTTTACTCATTCACTGATTTCGAGTCAATTGGCAAACATGAAATAAGTAGAAAATGTCAATTAAAGTACAATAACTTCTTAAGCTGTCGTCCAATGGTTTTGATCATGTTGGCATTTTTTGTTAATTATTTTTGCTAAACTTTTTCTCTCCCATCTGAAAAAAAAGAACAAGAGTCTCCTAAAAGCCTGTATCGATAGCTCACCCGGTAAAGATATGCCATTTTGATATTAATGTTTACCTTTATAACTAACAGTTATGATGAAACTTCATCATGTAAGGGCAATAATTCCTTCAGGAATCATCCAAAGGTTTCAGCTAACTTGGCATTTTTGCTCTAGTTTATACCTATTTATTATAGTTTTCAAGATAATTTAGCAAAATCTGGAAAAAAACTCCATTTGTTTCGGTTGTAATTGTATTTTTGTAGATCTAATTCTAAAATTTCTGATTTTCCCCCCTAATTACAGTTTCTTCCTATCACCAATAGTTTTTGAGATAATAGGCGTAACATTAAAATGACTCAAAATCGTTATTTATAGGCAATAACTCCACAAAGAATCCTACAATAATTTCTATCGTATTGGCATTTTTGTAGATCTTGTATTGCTGATCACGTTTGCATTTAACAGTGTCTGTCTAATTGATATAGTTTTTGAGTTAACAGGCAAAAACATGGAAATTAGCACAAAAAAAAAGTCATTTAAGTGCAATTACTCCTCAAAGAGTCATCTGATAGCTTTGATGCCACTAGGAAACAGGTAGATATTGACATTCTTGGCATATAGCCCCTGTCAGATTTTCTCATCTATTATAGTTTTCAAGATATAATACAATTAATGCATTTTACCCATATGTTCATGGAGGCATGTTAGTAGACTGACTGAAAAACTCAATCTTTAAACAAGATATCATAAGTTTGTTTGAAATTGGTTCAGTTGTTTCAAGAGAAGATCTTTAAAAAGTATGTGACACTGCTGGGAGCAAATAAATGCAATAGCTCATATGACCCGATTGGCCAGGTAAGCTTACAAAATAAATCTAGACTACTGAACTGAAGAGATTACAGTGGTGAATATTCTTGAAATACAGCTGTAATTTTCAGTGAATGACTAATATAGAACTTGGCTAAATTTTATAGATGTGCATGATTGATTGATTGGTGATTGTTTTCAGCACAAAAAGGCTATATCGTGGAGAGATGTGCATGATGAATTGGTTGTAAAGATCTAGTGGCAAAACTTAAATGCTTCAAGTTAATGTGATTTGAATATGAACACTGTTTTGCAAAAGACCAACACACTGAGCCAGATTTTTACCATGCTAGTTCACAAGGCAACAGTTTGCAGGAAGAGATACATGTATCACTCTACCTGGACACATTATCACCAGTTAATGCCATGTGCTAGGCTGAGAAGCAGCAAATACCAATTTTCAAGTCATTTATTTTACCTGGAAGGGGATACACCACAAACTTAAGCCCTCAAAGCAAGCATGCAATCATGAGACTAACGATGCAGTTCAGACTGGGTGTATGAAAGTATTTAGTGCATGCAATGATCTCAAACTACATACCCTAAAGTCTATAGCTATCAACAATTTAAATGATCCAAGCAAAAGATGACAATGACCTAAGATATGTGGGCTCAACAAACAAATATGAATCAGTTATGTAAGTGTCAAGTGCATTATAAGGAAGGAATAAAGAAAATCATGTGATTGAAGGCATAGCTTTATTGATAACAATTTTGACAATGTAGGATTTCTTGGATAGAAAAATATGAAAATAACAACACAGTGTACAAAGTAACCACTAATAATGTAAATCATTCTCAGAAATGCATAATTTGCCTCAAAAATGTATGTCTATCAATATTTTAATCATTGAAGGAGAATAATAAAAAGAATCCTGGAATGCAAAAGGGAAAAGATATAAAAAGCCATTAAAAAAATCGTTTAATCTAGTTAGGTTTTCTTAAACCCTAAACTTCTGTATTACAACAAACACAAACATGTATGTTTAAACAAGTTAACATCTACAGTTTTTGTGGGGTTCATGTTGCTCAGTCTTTAGTTATGTGTATTGTTGATGTCTTTTTTTTTCAATTTTGCAATGTTGTTGTCTTGTCTTTCTTAAACTTGTGATTTTAGATTACACATTTGGTATCCTCTTGAAATTTTGTATATAATTAGTATTAAAAGTATCATGTATTTCTCTGTAATTCAAATTGTGTTAAAGACCTAGAGTAGATTTAGCAAGAAATCAGACTTCCCAAACTAGCTATATCTACTTCACATTGTGCGATTGATTGTTGGTGTTTAACACCACTTTCAGCACTCCTAATTATAACGTTGCAGCCATTTTGTATTGGTGGAGGAAGCCAGAATACCTGGAGATAACCACTGACCTTCAGGAGGAATAAATGTACTTGCAACTGCACGAACAGGATTCAAACTCAAGACAGTGTTGACAGGCTGGTGAAAACTGTAGATGAACTACTTAGACCACTTGGCCACAGAGGTTCTCAAGTTGTGAAGTTAAGTTTTCAGAATAGATGTGAAAGTATGGATATCCATTTCTCTCTGATTTACAAGGTCAAGACTTATTGACATGCATCAATTGCAAAGTACATGTACCCTCCTCCTCAAAATTGTTCTAAACAAAAAATAATAAAAGAAGTACAAAGTGAAAGGGAATATGTGCTTAATATTCTATTTGATATAGTTTTACTCATTGCTCAACTAATTTCTGAATGCTTACTGTGTCAAATGAGTATATCCAAAGTTTCCTGAACTGTGGCAGTTATATTATTTACCAATATCAAACAAATTAACAATGGTTTGGGAACAGGATATGTAACTGTATATGACTATCAGTATAGTTATACAAATGCTTCACAAACTAACAGGAAAAACAACTGTTTAGGCACTGTTTTTTTAAATCTTCCTTCAAACTTTTTCAATTTATCCAATAAGTATGCTAGTATGATCTAAATATACAATATTCAAAGGCAGTATAAATCAAATAAAACATATACTGAACCTAATCAACAGCTAACATTTCCTTTTAATATCTAGAGAAAAAATGACAAAGGTGTGGCACTTCTAAAAAAAAGACTTCCTTTTTAGCAAGCTCTTCAGTGATGAGGTATAATTGTTATAAGCAAAGAAATATAAAAAAGCTACATGTTAACAAGTCTTCTTTTTTTGAGAAGAATTATCTAAAGAACATAATGGCATTTTTCAACTGCAAAATTCCCAAATGAAATTATTGATTTGATGTTTATTGAATCAAAATGATAACCTTGTGGTTGTATTAGACTGGTTTTATCACCATTTCATAGGGACAATGGATTTTTTTATCAGTGCATCACATTTCTCATAATTTTCATTATACCATTAAATTATAATAAGATTGATTGATTGATGTTTGTTAAGGGGGAAATAGTTACAATTAGAAAATTTATGATCAATCTCGCAAAAAAATGATCCACTTTGAGGCAATCTGTGTTATACCTAACTGTCACACCATTGCCTAATTGTTGAGATTGTGTTGTAGCTAAAATTGTCTTTAGTTTTCCAGTTACATACAGCAATAACATATATGGAGCTGTTATAATTTATCTTAAAATTGTGGCAAATGAAAATTTCAGCCTAATAATAACACATTTACAATCAGTCATTTGAACATTACTACAATATGGAATATTACAAAAGTACTTTATTAATTAATTATCTATATAATCTGAGTGAATTACATGGGAAAACAGCAATATTGTTTTTATATATAAACACCGTTGTTTTTTGGGACATAAATACTTAAATGCTTTACAGCCGTTTTGTTTCTAGAAATAGAGAGAAGATAGTTTGTCACAAAATGACTTGTCTCGAAACTAACGTGTTAAAATATTTTAACATTCTGTAAAAGCTGTTACTACACTTGAATTTTTAAATATCTACGCATAAATTACTACAAAATGTAGTAACCTTTTCTAATTTCAATATCAGATTATGACAACATAAAATCATACACCAATCTTGATTTGTCAGTAGTTTAAAAGAAAAATCGTTTTTTTTTATTTTTTTGTGTAGCAACAGAAAATGTCTGACATCACAGACCAAAAGTGATTGTCGTAAGGTCAACCGGGTTCAAAATTTATTTCAATCGTTTTAAGTCCCACGAAATACAGATTTGTGTAGACTTTATATTCATACTAAACATTATAATATCAATTTGACCATACCATTAATATATTTTTGACAATTTAAGAATTTTAAGAATTTTGCTTGAAAACTGGACTAGTAAGGAGTACATGTACTTTACAATTGCAGTAATTAAAAAAAAAAATTAATTAGTGGTGAGAAATAAAAATCACAAACCAAATAACAAAATATAATATAGCTACTCCAATTAATTCTATAAGAGTTAATCACCAATATAATAATTTGTGCCTAACTTCTGTATATTAGGAAGTGCAGGTTCATATTTTTCAAACATCAAAAAATAAAAAATATTATGTGTATACAAATAATAACATTTCCAGTATATCAACTGTTTATGGTTTCACCGGTATCATGTCTTGCACCATTTATGTTATATTTTCCTGATTTCAAGTTTTTATCGAGGATTGCTTTATATCCTTTATTAATTGGAATTACTTCCTATGAAATATCTTGAGAAGAAAATATTGCTAATGTGTCCTTTTTCTTTAAGTTTAGGACAATTCCATGCAATATGGAACAATCAGTAGTTTGTGAGAGCCCAGCATTGTATGCATGAAACTCTATATATCATAATTGAGTTTACTGTAAATTTTTGAAGAAAATTTAGGTCTCATATTTTAAAGATTCTGGAAATTTAAATATAATATTCTAAAGATTCAGGAAACTCATCTATAACATTCTTTAGATTCAGAAAAATTGATTCTAAAAATTTATAAATTTCAAACAGCACCTATATCAACTGACAGTGTGGAGTATCTTCATATTTGGTGATATTGATCCTATTGTCAATTCGTAATGAGAGTTATCCTCGTCAAATCTTTTTACAATCAGGAAAATATAACAGTAAAATGGAATATTAAAACCGAACGAATTCTATAACAAATGCATAATACATTCCAATCAAAGGGTCTTGTTCTGCCCTATAAATAGAGTCAAGTCTGTTTCTCTTGTCAGATAAATCTGTGCATTTCTTCCACATTCTATTAAATAACCAGACCTATAAGATGAACAGAATACAAACATACGACCTATATATGGTCTTTACAAGATTAATAGGCTTCTAACAAGAAAAGTTAATGCTGTCAACTAAAATATATACTGTAAAATCAGAAATTAATGCATTAATTTATTAGTAAGAATCCTGGGCCTCTGAAGAATTGTGAAATCTACTTCACGCAATTGCAAAAAATTCATGCAGGGAAATCACTACTGAAATTATTAATGTGAGTTTATATTATTGCGAACTTGATACTTTCGCATTTTTCTTATTAATAAAAACATTGCAATAATTTCTAAATTTACAGTATACCTTTGATATTAAAATACATACTCTGCCTAAAAGTTTGCAACATCAAATTAATAAATTTATACTTAACAACTATTCTGTATCTTATCAACAAGGGTAAAATAAATACACTCCAGTCGAAGGTAAACAACTTATATAAGCCATTGTCAAGTAAAAAATGCATTATATATATATATTACTGTTTACAATACTCTATCATATAGTAAATTCTTTAATTTCACTTTACTACATTGATTATCAATCTATCATAAAATTCAATCTCTAATCACCAATCCATCAAATGAAAATGAGAATTAAAAATTGATTACAAATTTGCTTAAATGTTTAAGCACAACAAAGTAAATGTACATATGTTTATAAACATGAAGGAATGCTTGGTAACCATATACCACACATAAAAAAGTGAATGACATTAGAACATTAATGATAAAGGACCATCTCTAAAAATTCTTGTACAACATCAAAACAAAATAAACCAGTTTATTTGAAATAAAATTAAAATGCAAAACAATACCTCAACTTCAACAAACTGCATATTGTTTCATTGTTATTTTACACCATGCCCTACTATATATGTTAAAAATTCATTAAAATGCAGAAGGTACACTTCTTGTACAGCATATCAAAACAATTCCAGACTTATAAAAATCTTGGTGATTTTGAAAAGATATCTCCATACATATTCAAGCTAAGACTCCAACAATAAAACTTGATCTGTACTTTATTAGTTATTTTCTAATAGAGAGATTTTTTTTTTCAAAGCAAATAATAGTGAATAATACCCACGGTAAAGGTAAGTAATAAAGCTCTTTGTGACTATTTTTTTCATGACTAGTGAACTATGGTAATTCTCTAGGATACATGTAGGTTTGACAGGTTTTATGCTGACAGAATATAAGATTATTCAATCCTTATTGATTCTCCTATCATAATTGAAATATATCCTAGTATTTAACAGGATTTCTTTACAATACAATTTGCATATATAGTAAACTTACTGTCTAACACCTCCATGACCTCATCACAAGTTATCACTTCTCAAAAACTAGCAAAAAATTAATTCATCTATATGAATCTTTCCTTGATTTATAAATTGCCTTATATGGAAATGAAAAAAAGAATGAAAACCAAATTTCTATGCAATAAGAAAGTGCTGATTAATCACTTTTTTAGTTAAACACTGAGTATTTAATCCTCCTGAACAATGTTAAAAGAATCACATATGCAAATAACATACACTAGACCAAAATATTTTAAATATTCAAACATGAAAAATTTACAAATTTTGAATCTTTTATCTGTAAATCTATTCCAATATTGCAAAGTTCATTAACTACCTATTTTTAACATTTTCAGGTTTTTTATAATGTTGAATTAAGCATTACATTATTGTGAGGTGATGAAATTATATCAAAATTATATCAATGCTGAGATGTCAGTATTATAAATTCATAATCACACCTTCAAAAGATTTTTCAAGGGATTAAAAATTGCGTATTTCAAATTTCCATCTGAAATATTCAATGGTTCATAGCACATCATGTACCAATAGATCCATGGCCTAGGACTTTTCAAGTCAACAAAATTAAACATTTCAGTGCATTGTTTCAATTTAATATCTATATGACCATATATAATACATCTTTGAACAAATATAATTTTCAATAGAAGGAATAGGCTTTTACAAATATTTTTTTACATATTATTTTTATGATCATATACAAAATGAAATTTTGTATATCATCTATTTTTAGAACTGTATTTTAGTGCCCTTACCCAGCTTACATATGTTTGGGGTCAATATCTATCAACTGTATATAATTACTACATAAAAAAGAAGTCTCAATTTAAAATAAAATCTGTTGCTCTTTGCACAATAAATCTTTACGACTAAAAAATGATCGCAAGTTATACAGAAACACTCATCAAAAGTTAATGAATCTTTATTTACACCGACATGTTCATTAAAAGATGCTGAAACTTGATCAATAAGTCAGATGGATGGCCATTCTTTATAATAAACTGCTATCACAGAGATATGTCTCGCCTTTTTGTAATTTTGATAATGCAAATGTTGAAATTAAAATAGCAATACTTTAACATGTAAGTTATGCAAATATTCAAAGTCGATGAACCATGACTGAGGTACATGGCTAAACAATCTCCATGGAATGAGATGTGCCAATGCTAATACAACTGCATACCAAATACCATTGACTTATTATAAGTAGTTCCCTTTAAACAAACCTAAACACAAACATTAACTTGTAAACTATGTAAAAGTTTCAAAGTCAACGAACCATGACCAGGGGTGGGGCTATATAACCTCCATGGAAACGATACTTGCAAATGCCAATAAATTTGCATACCAAATATCATTGACTTAACATTAGCAGTTCATCTTAAACTGATCTAATCACAAACTAATACATGTAAACTAAGCAAAAGTTTCAAAGTAAATAGACCATGACTGAGGGGGCGGGGCCAAATATTCTCCATGGAAATGAGATGTGCTAATGCTTATACAACTGACCACCAATTAACATTGGCCTATCACTAATGGTTCCCCTTGAACTGACCTAATCACAAACAAATACATGTTAACTCAGCAAGATTTTCAGTCTTTAGACCATGACTAAGGGCGCTGAGCCAAATAATCTCCATGGAAATGAGATATGCCAATGCTTATACAACTGCATACCAAATATCATTGACATACCACTAGTGGTTCCCCATAAATTGACCTAATCACAAACTAATACATGTAAACTATGAAAAGTTTCAAAGTCAATAGACCTTGACAGAGGGGGTGGGGCCAAATAATCTCCATGGTAATGAGATGTGCCAATGCTAATACAACTGCATACCAAATATCATTGACCCACCACTAGTGGTTCACCATAAACTAGACCTAATCACAAACTAATACATTGTTGACGCCGCCGGAAACATCATACATATGTCTCGCTTATTGACTCCATCAAGGCGAGACAAAAATCTGGCATTTTCAAATTATAATTAATTTAAATATTTTTATCATGCAGACTTAAATAAATATTTTCAAATGTTAACATAGATTGAAGATACCATCCAATTCTTACTGAATAGTTTTATGAATATATCTGTGATCAATTTATTAAACTAAGAAGTGAACCTTGTTGATTGAACAATTGTACTTTGAGAACATCATTAGGAAAATAAACCTTTTTTTGTGCAGAGCATTTTTTCATGCACTCTTACATTATGAATCAAGTAAATAAAAAGATAGAATACAGGAAGATGAAAAGTACAAAACATGTAATTATGACAAAGCAAAAGAAAAAATTACAAAATATAAATATATATATGCTAGTAAATTGTAATAAATATCAAGAATAACAATGTTACAGAATTCTAAGGATAGCCTGCATACATTAAATAAATGTCGATTTTTAAGTTCTTAATGAATAAGAATGACTTTCCTTTGAAAAGCTAATCTTCTAATGCAAAGGTTACAATATCATCCATTAATTTGAACTCTCACATTATTTATCATATACAATATATGTATCTGAATAATTTGAAATTGCATAAAAATGCAGATATATCTATAAACGCTATTTCATATACAAATTCACTTTTTTCTTCAAAACATTAAGTCATTATCCTATTGTATTTTTTGTGTAACATTTTTTTTATTGGTTACTATATTTATTTACTGTCAAATCAATAGCTGACATGTTGTAACTAAAGACGAAATATTGACTTGTCTAAAAATCCTATTTAAGATTTTTTATATATCTCGTACCTAGTGCCCCTTTAATGCGACAAAATCTTTTATAAAATTTCACAGAATTTAATAAATTAGTATTTCATACATTTTTCAAGGTTTAATGCTATTAAATTTTGTCATGCCTCAGAATAGAAATATTCTCAGTGTCACCAGTAAACTGCACTGCAGTTGTGACGGTAAAATTCCTAATTGATGGTGGCAACTCTTCAACTAAAGTACTGTTACTTAATTTCAAAGAGATTTAAATTTTTCTACTTTTAAAAATTTGAAAAAAATATATTCTATTAAAAAAAGATTTTTGCCTCACTATTAACTCTAAATTTTGGCTACGGTCACTTCATTTGCAGTAAAAAAATAAATGGTACCAAACATTGAACATCACATCAACTCTTCAAAATTCCTAATTCATGGTTAGGCTTAAAAAAAAAGCAGACAACTTTAGGACAGTTTGAGGTAAATGACATCATAAAAGATGAATATCAAGCACAAATACACAAAATTGCTATTAAAAATGCATATGCTTAACAATGGACAATATTTAAAAATGTTTTACTTAAATACAAAAATATCAAAAGGAAATGGACTATACAACAATAACCATAACAAAAAATAAGCATCAAAAATAGAATCTGGAAACAAAAGCAAGAAAACAAAAGTTTAATATACAAATATGTATATCTTTCTTACTCCTTAAAATAAACCCTTCATTTAAATTATAATTGCACTCTCTGTCATTAAAAACAAATGGTAAACACTTAAACTACATGTAACTACAACATTACTTTAAAATAATTTCATGTTATCATCACTTCGTTATCACAATCAAAGTAAATCACCTTTAAATTCTTACAACAGAATATTTGTTCACATTTTAAACTTCACAAAAAATTCATTCACTGATAAATCTTTCTCTTCTGCTTCTGTCAAGCTGAATGCAAACCATACATTTTGTCTGTAACTGTCTTTTTTCCTGCCTCCCACCTTCACATACCGCACAATGGAAAACAAATTAGCCCTTCTGTGTACAACACAGAAAAAAATATTGACCACACCTCTTAAAAACACAGAACATTGCCATCATTTCCCAAATGAAATGATCTCATCCCATGAATCCTTTCTCTGCTAAAACTTGTTACTGTCTGGAACTCCTAAAAATGAAATACCAGCAACACTGCAACAATAGACTTCCAACAAATGATATTGGAAACTTTTCATTTTGGTTTTGGATCCATTTTCATTTTCATCAGTCCTGGGCGAACTGGAAAATATGCAGGATTATCCTCCCTTTTGTACATACTTTTGTTGGGAATGAAGTGTTGAAAAGTTGGAGCTTTTGTTAACATAGACTGCGTATGTACTGAAACTGGTTCAGTTGTCATTAATGGCATTGGTTGGGTATTTCCCATTAATGGATGATGAGAAATCATCAGGGGTACAGGCTGAGCGTTTATAGACTTGGATGGTAGAAGGTGTCTTGGCAGTAGCTGAGATGGTTGTGAGACCATCACAGGTAGTAACTGAGTATTAATTGTTACAGGCTTTGGTACAGGCTGCGATTGAGTTGCCTTGGATGCATGAATGGGTTCCAGTCCCTCAGTGGAGGCAAATTTTTTCTTTGCAGGATCATCATCACCATCTATCTTGGTCCCTGCAACCAGGTCCGACAGACTCCTTTTTTTCATAGGTTTAAATTTGTCTAGTAACTTTGAATAGTAGTCTGATTTCTCTGCACCTGTATTTGGAAAGTTATTTTTGAGGTTATTCCTCTCTCCCAGTAAAGCTGACACTACAGCAATATCCATATCATTGCTGGAATAAAATAATCTAGACTGGACTGGTTCTGATATCATAGGGGATCCATCTCTGTTGTGAACCAGTACTTGTACACTTTCTGGTACCCCTGTCATTAAAACAGTATCTTGGGAAGGCACCGTCATTTTCAAATTTTCCATAGATGCACAATGTGTTCCCACAGATGTATCAAAGTCAAACTGTCTGACCGAAACACTAAATTCCTTGTCTGATTTTTCAATGCTGTCTGCTTTTGTCAAGCTTATTGTAGGTTTAATAAGAGGTGAAGGTGATACTCCTCGTTTTGGTTGGATTGGACTCGATGATCCTAGGAGCTGATTGCCATTTGGCAAACGATTGTCATTCCTGGATGGTGAATCAATGCTTCTGTTGAAATCATCCATGCTATTTTGTCGTGATCTTGGGTCATCAAAACTTCCTTGGCGGGAATCCATACTAGTCTGACGTGACTGATCTACTGGACTACACATTACAACTAAACCTGCAAATAAATGTAACCAACCAATGTTATTAACTGTTATCTTACAAAAACCAAAAATCACAACACAATATTTTGTACAATTTAAGAGTAAATGTAAATGGCCTGAGAACACAGTTATTTCGTAGTGCATTTCTTTTAGACAATAAATGAAAATAAAAAAAATTCCACCTGCACTTTCTCAATATGTTTTTACAGTATGGTGTACTACTTTTGGGACAAATTATATCAAAATCATAGAAACTTCATTAGCACTAACTCAAAATATGGACAATTTTATGTTAAGGGGGTCTTGAATTCTTTTGACAGCTTCAGACATACTAATTTTTAACCTTTTTCAGCTGGACCAAATCACTACTTTACTTTAAAATTCAAGACCCATTTTTTTACAGTGTAATTTCATCCCCCTACTTGCTATTTGAGGCATAAAAAGAAATAAATTTCGAAGGGGTATGAAAAAAATTGTAACTATATACTGTCCACAGTAAGGACTGTATTTAAGGAATGACTGTAATATTTTTTCTGTCTATGAAGAAATAACATCAAAAATGTGATGCAAACTGAATAACCTGCGTAGCGGCTTATTTAAAGTGTGCACCACATTTTTATGTTATTTCAAATAGACAGAAAAAATATAACAGTCATTTCTTATAATTTAATCCTAAATTCCATTTCAAACCGGAGTAAACCATGAAAAAACGGTGATGACGTCACGGTCACATGACAAAATTGTCTATGAGCTGATAAACAAAACAACGTCAGCCAATCAGAAGACGCGTTACATCCAAAATTAAATTATTTGTAGACAACGAAAATCAAAGAACCAAAACTAAGTTCCCGGCCATAATAATATATATATATATGTGGGAGAAACTTAGAGGTTGACATACAGTATATACCAACTCTTATTGACCTATGTCTGAAAAATGTTGTGGTGGCTACTTAATATATTAGTTTGCAGTTGAACTGATACATAAAGGCAAATGATGATTCAAATTCCAAACTGTGAACTTGCTGACAGCAATATATCCATTTGTTAACTAACTTTGCAATTCCTATAAAATTAAGAATGGAAATGGGGAATGTGTCAAAAAGACAACAACCCGACCAAAGAGCAGCCCAAGGCCACCAATGGGTTCTTCAACACAGCGAGAAAATGCCTATCATTTTTATATCTCCTTTCCTTTATCTACTAAAGGAAAAAGTTTTGTTTTTTTTACTACTACCTGATAATTACCATATGGATCACTGTTTACTTGAGTACAAAGTATTCTGAATGTGTTGATTTTTAAATGGCTAACTTATTGCTAAGATGCAAGACCCTCGTATATATCCTTGTGTGTTTTTCCAGCACTTTAGAAATTTCTGTTTAGTTACACAATTTTGTGATGTAGTGTGGCTAGCAATGTTTAATTTGACCTGGTTGGCTTAGCTTAGTATGTATGATAGCTTGTTGTTTGACTAACCAGGAATCTCCCCCAGTACATTTAAGCATCATCGAAATGTGGTGCTATATTATCTTAAAAAAAAACATTTCCTGGTTTACCAATATTTCATTGAAAATTTGTGGGAGAACACTGCTGACTTTATCTTCCTGCTATTTAGTTTTATCTGATATATTTATTTATCAGCAATTTGTACATTTTCCCTTTGATCTTACTGCCTAATATTTTAAAGATTATGGACAGGACTTGATACTTGAAAATATTAGGCAATGACGTCATGTATCAGTGCAGCAACATCACATGCTCATACGCGTCAATTTTTCAATAAAATGCACGAGTCTTCATTCATACAACGAACAACTATCACAACATTTTGCACATGTAAAAATAGTGTTACTAACTATTTCATATTTCAACCAAAAAAACATTACAGTTCGGACAAATTGCCGATAAAAAGAATAATGGCATTTTCATTTTTGATACTGACTTTATCAGCTCGAATATTAGTTTGCCCTAACGGGCTCGCTTGATATTCTTGCTGACAAAGTCAGTATCAAAATTGAAAACGCCATTATTCTATATACAGTAGGGGTAGAGACTTATTATTATGGGTGTCTTAATCCGTCTAGATGTCAGACTGGTCCGACAGTTGTCTCAGTGTAATTAACACCTGCTGTGATAATAACCTGTACAATATCGGAGTGGAAGGTCATAAATCAATCTGTACCAGCTTGATTAGAATTAAATTTTACCTGTACAGATATTTTAGTATTTATGGAGGATAGATAATAAATGTAAAAAATATTGTACTGTAAAAATGTGTTGCCAATTATAATAATTGTGTTTGTGCCAATAAACTATTTGTATTTGTAAACCGTAAATATTTCATTTTATTCAAAATTATAACAACCAGGACTGTTTTCAATCGAAGTTTTAATCAAAATGTTGAGACATCAATCCCATAAATTATACGAGTTTTCGTTGATGGTTACAATATTTCCCCCTTTTAACGTCCTGTTCCTTTATGTTATTAATAGAAACACAATTCTAAGTATAAGGCCAACATATCGTATTTATAAAGTATATAAACAAATTGAATATAGGCATTGTGAATATCCTGTTATTTTCCTTTCGATACCACGTTCCCCGTCGGAGCCTCTACGTCTATTCATACCTGTCAATCATTTCTCGCAAGTAAAACAATTTGGTCAGCCAGATCATCCGTGCTTTCTATTTTGACATATATTTCCTGTTAATCTCTTTGAAACAATTGGTTTTTTTTTACAATATTTATAACGCCGTGATCATCTTTCGATTCCTAGTTTTTATATAAAAAAAACTTTTCATATGCACGTCAATATTCTATGACCCAGCATTATTTTAAATTTTGTTTGTTAATAAATTTACATATAATGGAAATAACAGATTTGTTGACACTCGTTGTATTATAACAAAGATATTGCCTTTCTATTTCCATGTTTGAAATTTTAATGAAAATCGTGTTTTTTATAAACATATTTTACGAATCGTGTCAATCAATACACAAAGATCAAAGTTTTACACTATTCATGATCAGCCGTCTTTACTTTTGCGTCGTATTTCTAGCCATTCTAAAGCTTGTGCAGTCAGTAAGATTTTGTAAATCGATGTCGGCAGTTTAAATTGTATAATTCCCGAACTTTAAAGGAGGTGTCCCAATAAATTATTTAAATAGGAATCTGGGTGTTGACTGATAAATATAATAAATAAAATAGTTAAAGAAGACTAAAGCTTGTTTTGTTTATATGTACAAGGATTAAATTTTCTATTCTGGTAAATCAATTATTAATGGATCTCGATCAAGAGCCTCAAAACTAACGCACAATACTGCCAATCAATATTATTTCCAAATTAAAATATTGTTTACGAGTTGAATTAAATCATGAATGGATTTTCCCATGATCGGTCAGTAAGGTCACCTGTGTTAAGTGTTACGATATTTCCCGCCATATGAAAATCACGTGCTTTTGACAAAATTAATTCCAGCTATTTTTAGCATTCAACATTGTATTGTGAGTGAAGTCAAGTTCAAAGTTCAACCACATGCTGTTGATCACTGATATGTGTATCATGGAATTGTCTTTTCACGGCAAATATTTTTTTAGATTGGTGTCAAAAATACAACATACAAGTTAACATGCATTGTGCGTAAATTAATATTATGCAATTAAGAGTCAATGCAGTACCATAAAATTATTTAAATGGGAGTAATTACATTTCTTTAGACTACAAATCATAGTAAATATTTAATTAACTGGTCATCAAACGATTGAATGCTTTTAGTTTTAATGTCCATTCATGTCAGTGGCAATTATTTCATGCATATTTAACAAACACAGAAATATCAAAATAAACCTTATTCCCGAGAAGAATCGTGTTATTATTTGCGTACTACTTTAGTTATATATCACCAACTTTCGGACAATATTTGTTTACAGTAAAAAGTAAATTCACAATTATAAAGAATCACCAAACTACTAGTATACAAGTATTGCTCACTGTAATTATTTTTATTTCAGAACTGATCCAACGCAAACTGAAAATTAAATACAAATGTAGTGTTGTCAAACTATAACGTATGCAGCAGCACTTTGCACATCATTCTGCTAATCAATTGGTTTACGTGGAAAAGAAATCAGTAAAACAAAAATAACCTTCCAGAAATAAAAAAGAAATTATTTTAAAAACTGTATGCCAACAAATACGAAAAAGATACATAACAAAAAAAACCAGGGAACATAAAAAATAATATTTTGAGGAATATAAACAGCATTTGAAATATAAAAAGCCATAAATAAAAAAATAGGCTATTTTTTATTAAAACAAAGTTAGTCTCCAGTACTTCACCTGTAAAAATATTTTATGTCAAATTCGATGTAGAACTAATCAATAAAGTGACTGAGAGGTTTAAATCACAGGTAACCTGATTCTGAAATCAGTGAAGCGTAATAATCTAGTAGCACAGATTGAGATGAAAGGACAATTATATTACCGTTCACACCTGGATCTGTTGATTAATGACCATACTACCTACCATAAAAAAGTCGGATTATTCATTTCCGACATGTCCCAGTCCGTTATTTATAGTAATAAGTCTCTACCCGTACTGTATGTATGTCAGTTCAAAACATGTATATAAATCATATAAATTGTGTTGTTATGAAATTGAGTAAAATTTGTTTTCTGACACCAGAAGAAAGGTAATACAAGAGAATACTTTCCAGAGTATGCAAATACAATGATACAATCTGATAATATCAAGAGCACTTTCACTAATCTATAAACGTAACAATCTACCATTATAAACCATATTTGATTTCTAAGTATCTGACTTTCATGTATTATTATATACAAACCTCCTCCATCTAATTCTACACGGAATGTCTTTAACCAGTCTACAAAAGTGCGTATGTCTTTCACCTCTAACCCATGTACTGTTTCCAATACTTTCATTTTTGCCTGCCTCAATCCTAATATGAAAGTAAAAAAACATGAATAAAAGTTTTGTTTTAACTTTCAATACAAATAAGGTGACCAGCATCTGAGAACTTATGCCACTTTCAAAGTCATATACAAAACACATTGTTTAAACGCGAATGCTGGAATTCAACTTCTTTTTCACTCACTCTAAAGGATTGTCATGAAAATCTGAGATGTGGAAAATCTGACAACACTGACAATGTCATTATATGAACCTATATATGTGCCTTTATGTCCCAAGTGCAATCATATAACATGTATAATGAAGACTGTTATATTCATTTATCAAAATGCATCAACTAAACATAATAAACAAATAAATAGTACTTTGATAATGCATTTATATATGATAAAATATATTTTACTCCTATAATCAAGATGGCTATTCTTAATTTTTTCCTCAAGTCATCGTATATCTATATATATACATGTACATGTAGCTAAAGACTAGAATTAATAAGTCAAAATGATTCTAATCATTATAGGAATAATTTGATTTCTTCTTCCTAATACTGAGCATGCTGAGTTTCAAAAACAAACAAAACATTCTTCACAAAAATGACCTAACACAATGCAAGATTTTTAGATTTTTTAGCATAAATAAATGTTTTTTCCTGTGACCTCATCAAAGGTCTGCCTTGATCAAAACTTCTGGAGATTTATTGTTGCAATGAAAAAACTGCATCAAAAATGGCCTAAATTAAAATGTAAATATTTTGGACATCTGTCCCTATAAGCTCCCTTTTTATTTCTTTTATCCCAGAAATAATAGTACTATGACTTCTTTAACAAGTTTTCAAATATTAGAGAGTAATTAAATATTCTATACTTTTACCAGAATTTGAAATCTCCTCCTCATCTTTAACATCGGAACAAACAGATGACACATCTGTCATACATGCATCTTCTGAACCTTTGGATCTTGTCAACGGAGAATTAATTCTTCTGAGGTCAAGTAGAGTAGACCTTTTTAGGGCATCCTTACACATTTTCTCGATGAGTGGGATGTAAGTGCTTTTGATTGCATGATTTGTGTAGTTTTCTGTTAAGCCAGCCATGGAACACATCCTTGTCATAATCTTACTTAGTGTACTATTTCCAAGTGGAGTATTGTCATACCAGACCAAATCTGATGCTACAAAGGAACGCTTCGGTCTCTGCCAAAACATGTCAGTCATTGGATGAAGATGGGAAACATACTTCAGAAAAGATGCAACAGGACACCTATGGTCACCTGAAAAATAATGTGCAGTATATCGTAAACAGTGAAGGAAGCACTTGTTTGACTGGTGAAAACTTTTCTGAACGTTTTTAATTGAAATTGAACGTTTTATACCAAAGATCACGAAAATACGATCATTTGACGAAACTATGACAGACGAACTGCAAATTGTGATCGTTTTAGAAATATTGAAATTAAAAAGCGAACTGTCCAGGGGAAAACAATTTTGTTCAAATGACAAGCTACGACAAACAAACTGCAAATTGTGGTCATTGGCCTTGAGAAATATTGAAATTAAAATGCCAACGGACTGATTTTACAGGGGAAAATTATTATGGTGGTCAATTATGAGGTTTATTAATAATTAACGGATTAGTTTTTTGTATCTTTATCATTGGACAAGGGGTTGTCAACTGAAACCAAAGTTTTTGACCTTAACCTTTGACCTAGGAAGTTGTACATAAATTATGACACACCCTCTGGTGTTGGTTTATATACATGGCAAGTATAAACTTTGAAATCATAACGGTTCTCAAGATATAGAGAGGACACGATCTTTACCATTGGACATGGGGTTGTCAACTAAAACCAAAGTTTTTGACCTTGACCTTTGACATAGGAAGTTGTACATAAATTATGACACACCCTCTGGTGTTGGTTTATATACATGTCAAGTATAAACTTTGAAATATAACGGTTCTCTAGATATAGAGCGGACACAATTTGTTACGGATGGACGGACAGACAGACTGATCACTATAGGGCGGCCGCCATTAGGCGGGGTCCTAATTAGCTGAGGGTCATAAACTTGCCAGAAACATGAAGACAGGAAGAAGGGGCATTTTTTGAGACAATGGCGTCACCCAAAGAAGTAAAAAAAGGGCATGGCGTCTATCCATGCTAAACATGCTTGAGGGAAACACTAGCCTGATATCTATAAGTGACTGAAAAGGTTAATTGTGAAAACTGGGACATGGAGATCCCTGCAAGTGTTCTGTCCATTATCTTTTCTCCTGTTTACATTTTGTGTATAATTATAATTCTTGTTACATATGGCTTTTGCATTTTATTTGAAATGCAATCATTTTATGACAAACAAAAACAGGGCGGAATCATCTCTACGACAAATCTACCTTGTGACGGACCAACTAGATACCCTAATTATAAGAATTTTTCATGCTTTTACCAATTATCATATCATCATCTCCATTGAGAAAGCTTGTGTGGACCATTATATTTGGCATAGAGAATCATGTGACTAAAGTTACACCACAATTGCAGTCATTGCCTTTCATAACATTAACTTAAAGAATATACATGACATTATGTATGTACCTGGTCTTTCATACATTTTCTCTCCGACCTGTGAACCTTGCATGACTGGTTCGTTGTCTGATAACCCTCCAACTAATTCTTTGAAGCTAAATTTAGGGTGATATTTTAGCCATACATATTTTCTTCCATCAGTATCTGTCGAAACTTCGAAATCAATCTTGGACATTACTCGTAAGAAATCTTTCCCCCTGTTGCATATATACAGGTTTATATCAAAGAAAACCTTGTTCTGTAGTGTGTCAGGTTGATCTGTGTTCATGGCTGGACCTAGATATATATGTTTCAGGTCATCTGAATCAATAAGGAGCCGGTGGCACCTCCTTGGTGTCTGTCTAATTGTTATATCAAAAACCGCATTAGCGTGATCAAATGATTTATCTCTGAGAATGTCAATGTTTGATTTCTTTGCAAAGTATCTTTGTAGCCCTGCTCTAATATATTTGAGGGATATAGATTCTGGAACATCATCACGATTCTTAACAGACGTATAGAACTCTTTGAGGTATTCTGCAAGTTGAGTGTTCGGCAGGCTTGTGACATTGTTAAGGCTGTGGCCTTTTGCTGTCACGAATTCTCTCAGGTAGTGAATGGCTGTACGTATGACAACCTCCGGTTCTTCCTCATCGTCACCCACACATTCTTCTTCTGTTTCTTGTTTTTCCAAACTCTTGTTCCGATGCTCCATCATGTTTCTGTTTTTGTGTGACGAAAAAATGAACACCGGAAGTGAATTATTTTGTATGGGTGTTTACAATTTATATTCTGAAATGAATTTTTAAACAATGAAAAATAATTCATCTTTGCACTTGTTTTTTTATTATTATTGAAACTGTATATTATCACAAGAAGTGGATCCTATCTGATCATTTATTTATATAACATGTCAACTTCATTTCGGGTAACACCCCCATTTTATTCCAATGAATTGACCAACTGTGAATCCGGCAATGTAGTCATCGCAGTAATGTGGGTGACGTCATTTCGTTCGATTGACTTGCGTAATGACCTCTTACTCGTCATCGTGGGCGAACGTTACCTCAGCGGGCACTGTTGGCAACGAAGCAAACGTGGTGCTTTCTCCGCGGTCCGCGATTAGCACATAAGATTGGAATTTTTAAAAGTTATTTTACTGCTGAAAACTTAAATAAAAGCAATCATGAATAGGAAATAAAATGGATACATTACATTCATATTATTTTAAAGAAAATTAAAGGAATAAATATTTGTTTGAAAAGGTAGTGCATTTGGATCCCAATTGAAAATTCATGCATTTAACCAGCTATGATCTGACATTTTCAGATCTAACTTAATCAGAAATAATATGGGAAAGACCATTTGATTTTCGGTTGGGAAGGACAGGAGCTATGTTTTGCTGGCCTGATTGGTTTTTTGTTGGTTAAACGGGGGAGGAGAATGTTTTCATGTCTGTCGGAATATTCATTTTCACCTGTTGCTAGTCCGGCTTATGTTGTTTTTGCTAGTCCGAATAATATTGTTTTTGCTAGTCTGCCGGGCTTATGTTGTTTTTGCTAGTATGACTTATATGTTGTTTAAAGTTTTTTATAGTACGGCTTATGTTGCTTTTGCTAGTACGAATTGTGTCTTTTTTGCTAAGACGGCTTTAGTTGCTTTTGCTAGTACGAATTATGTTGTTTTTGCAAATACGGCTTATGATGGTTTTCAACTAGTCTGGCTAATGTTGTTTTTGCTAGTACGACTTTAAGTTGTTTTTGCTAGTACGGCTTATGTTGTTTTTGCTAGTATGACTTGTGTTGTTTTTGTTAGTACGGCTTATTTTGTTTTTGCTAGTATGGCTTATGTTGTTTTTGCTAGTACGATTTTTTTTTGCTTGTATGACTTGTGTAACGTTGTTTTTGCTAGTACGGCTTATGTTGTTTTTGCTAATTTAACTTATGTAGTTGTTTGCTACTAGTTCGACTTATGTGGGTTTGCTAATCTGGGCTATGTTGTTTTTGCTAGTACGGCTTATGTTGTTTTTGCTAGTCTGGCTTGTGTTGTTTTTTCTAGAACGATTTATATATAAATAAGAAGATGTGGTATGAGTGCCATACAATGAGACAACTCTCCATCCAAGTCACAATGTATAAAAAGTTAACAATTATAGATCAAAGTACAGCCTTCAACCGTGACGGAGCCTTGGCTCATACCGAACAGCAAGCTATGAATTAAGGGCCCCAAAATGACTAGTGTAAAACAATTCAAACAGGAAAACCAACGGTCTAATCTATATAAAAAACGAGAAACGAGAAACACTTATGAACCACACCAACAAACGACATGCTTTTTTCGCTAGTACAGCTTATGTTGTTTTGGCTAGTCCGTCTTATGTTGGTTTTCTTTTGCTTTTGCGCATGCGAAATTATTTGTTTCCTGCATTGTGTTGTGCATACTTTTTATTTTCATCCTGTCTTGGTCAAGTTTTTTTTTCTATTTCTTACCAGGCCAGAATATTCATTTTCAAAATCCTCCTCCCCTATATATAGCTACTTATAGATATCTAAGGTCGCCCCCTAACAGATGACCCCGCACAAGACAGGATGAAAATTAAAATCCTGCCCACAAAAATGTAAGCCTGCTATTAGTGTGTGTACCTTGAAAACATGAAAATGAAAAAGTCTGAATAAAGGTGAACATTAAATTAACGTACGCAACCTGGAATACCCCTACCCCCCTCCCCGCAAATAAATATGCATGAACTATTTGCAACTTGTTATTAAGCAGACAACAATCAATATATTTTGAAGGCTAGTATGTATAGACAACCAAATGATTATTAGATGTGACTAAAGGTTTAAGAATCTAAGCCAACTTATTCATAATGAAGAATCTAATATTAAAAATAAAAGTTATAATTTACAAACAATAGACCAGACAGACGAACTAAGCAACAGAAAAGCATTTTCAGAAAGCAAAACAAACACAACTTAAACAAAACGCCACCATACATGAGTAGATTTTGCTTAAGACAAATTCGTACATTGGACCCATGTTGATCAGTAAACAAATAATAAAAATATTTACCTTAAGGGAAACTGGTTGATTAAAACAATGAATCTCAAATGCAACACAAGAAGAGTTGAAACAAGATTATATTCGGACGAGTCTGAAATTTCGCAGATTTACATTTAGAAAATCCGTACAGAACAATATGAGAAGAATCAACATAAGCAGAATATAGCTATCTGCGCAGCGGCTGTTATAACCAATCAAAGACTAGAGCAAGCTCTTAAAATGGGAGACGTTTTCATTCTAAAAAGGTTTGGCCAGGTATTATAAAGTGAAGCGGCTGAATATCTAAAAGTGCGCTTCGGACGCTCTAAATTGTCATTTGCCAAAAGTACAAGCTATTGTCTTTGGTATGACCAATATGCCAGGAAGTTACTATAGCAAGCATTATATTTTTTATTTTCAAAATTGACTAATTCAGTCAAACTTATCTGAACCTTCTGTTTCTCATGAAGAGTATTCACAGGGGTTTCATATGACGAAATATATTCATTATGCAAACCAGGACACTATTTTCTGTACTTTATTTAACTACTTAGAATCATTGTCCGCACGCGAGATGACACAATTCAAGAAACTCATAATGAAAGTGTGGAATATTTTTAGTTTCTTGATTCTAGATCAAAGACATCATCAGTCCATTGTATATTCACCTGATGTGATGCCTTTCTTAATAACAACATAAGTCACTGACATTACCATCAAATTTCTATTGATAATTGATATTAATACAAAGCAAATTCGTAGGGAAATAACCAGGCATCACCTTGAATGTGACTGCTTGACTTTCTAGCAGCGGTTTTCCTTTCACTTTTTATACGACCGCAAAATTTTTTTTTTGCGTTCGTATAATGCTATCATGTCGTCGTCGGCGGCGGCATCAGCGTCGGTGTCGTCATCATCCGAAGACACATTTGGTTTCCGGACAATAACTTTAGTTTAAGTGAATGGGTCTCTATGAAATTTTAACTTATGGTACCAACATTTAGGAATAAGGGACCAAAAAGGGGCTAAAACAAGCATTTTTGTAGTTTCCGGACAATAACTTGTGTGTAAGTGTTTGGATCTCTATGAAATTGTACAAGGTTCCATATCACAAAGGGAAGGCTGGGATTGAGTTTAGGGGTAATTGCCCCAAACGTTCAGGAATAAGGGGCAAAAAAGGGGCCAAAAACAAGCATTTTTCTAGTTTCCAGACAATAACTTGTGTTTAAGTGTATGGATCTCTCTACAATTGTACTACAAGGTTCCATATCACAAAGGGGAGGCTGGGATTGAGTTTGGGGGTAATTACTCCAAAGGGGGATTCAAAAAGTTTGGGGGGATTTTTTCCAATTTTTTGGGGGGGTTCGTAAATTTTTTCTTCAAATTTTTTGAAAAGTTTCAAGAAGAAATCTTCAATAGCACAGTGTTGCGCAACATCACAGTATTCCGCAATAGCACAATATTGTTCAATAGCACAGTATTGCGTAATAGCAAGAAATCTTCAATTGCACAGTATTGCGCAGTAGCACAGTATTGCACAATAGCACACTATTGCGCAATAACAAGAAATCTTCAATTGCACAGTATTGCGCAATAGCAAGAAATCTTCAATTGCACACGGTATTGCGCAATATCATAATATTGTGCAATAGCACAGTATTGCACAATAGCACAGTATTGCGCAATAGCAAGAAATCTTCAATTGCACAGTATTGCGCAATAGCACAGTATTGCACAACAGCACAGTATTGCGCAATAGCACAGTATTGCACAATAGCACAGTATTGCTCAATATTACAGTATTGCGCAATAGCAAGAAATCTTCAATAGCACAGTACTGCGCAATAGCACAGTACCGCACAATAGCACATTATTGCGTAATAGCTCAGTATTGCGCAACATCATAGTATTGCGAAATAGCAAGAAATCTTCATTAAAGTCTTTTATTTTTGGGGGTTCTAACCTTGTATTACTATTTTGGATATTGGGCCCCATTTTCAAATTGGTCTACATTGAGGTCAAAGGGTCCAAAATTAAACTTTGTTTGATTTCATCAAAAACTGAATTATTACGGCTGTATTATATGCTGAAGCTTATTGTGCATTTAGATTTTTTATTTTTGGGCCCTGTTTTCAAATTAGTCCATATTAAGGTTTGAAGGGTTCAAAATTAAACTTTGTTTGATTTCAACTAAAATTGAATCTTTGGTGTTTTTTTATATGCTGAATCTAACCATGTTGTTAGATTTTGGATATCAGACCATCATCCGAAGACACATTTGGTTTCCGGACAATAACTTTAGTTTAAGTGAATGGATCTCTATGAAATTGTACAAGGTTCCATGTCACAAAGGGAAGGCTGGGATTGAGTTTGGGGGTAATTGCCCCAAACGTTCAGGAATAAGGGGCAAAAAAGGGGCAAAAAACAAGCATTTTTCTAGTTTCCAGACAATAACTTGTGTTTAAGTGTATGGATCTCTCTACAATTGTACTACAAGGTACCATATCACAAACGGGAGGCTGGGATTGAGTTTGGGGGTACTTACTCCAAGGGGGATTCAAAAAGTTTGGGGGGGGGGAATTTATTCCAATTTTTTATTTGGAGATACATCATACATTTTTTGTACAGTAAAATATCGCGGGTTAATACAGCAGCGACAAAAAAGGAGTTATAAACAATCTAAAGATCCATCAGTAGATCA